AAAACCTAAAAGAAAAAATGTATAATAAAGTTGTGATTATTGCAAGGAACATTTTTTATCTAATAATTTTTTAATACTATTAGTTTGTGATACATAATATATTATTTTTTCTGCCATAATAACTAACTTTTTTCTGTATCCCTAAATAACCTATCGCGTACCCCTAGGGGTACGCGTACCACAGGTTGGAAACCGCTGTGATAACCTGTATGTTGTCAATGAGTTGGAAGACCAAACGATATTTTTGGCAGAAACTACTGACGAAAACTATTAAAGTAGCACCAAAGATATGGACACACAAACATTAATGATCTAAGAAAAATGCAAATGGAACAACTAGTCGAAGGTATTGACCTTTCAACGAAAGCAAGAGAATTAAACTGTGAAATATGCCTTAGATCCAAAATACATGTTCAACCATTTAAGAAGTTGCATCATTGAGAGAAAGAGATTTTGGGTTTAGTGCATTCCGATATATGTGGCCCGATGAAAACTGTCTCATTAGGAGGTGCAAAATACTTTGCAACATTTATTGATGACTGTGCATGATATATGGAAACTATAAACAAAGAGTTGAAAAACAAACAGGTCATCGAATCAAAAAGCTATGTATGGATAACTGTAGAAAATATTGATTGAACTAATTTAACAAATTCCTCATAGAAAAAGGAATCGTATGACAACTAAGTGTCAAATACACCCACAACAAAATGGTGTAGCAGAATGTACAGATCGGACACTTGTTGAAATGGCGAGGTGCATAATACTGCAAGCAGATCTACCTCAGTCACTATGGGTAGAAGCAATCAATACGGCCACATTTCTACGAAATAGAAGTGCTAGAAAAGTTCTTTATGGAAAAACATCGAATGAGCTATGATTTAAGCATAAACCTTATGTTGGTTTCTTTAAAATTATCAGAAGTAAAGCTATAGTACTGGACAAGACTCTAAAACGAGAAAAATTTTATGTGAAAGGTGATGAGTAAGTGTTGGTCAGATATTTGAATGAGTCAAAAGTGTATCGACTCTGGAAACCAGGTACTAAGACTGTCATCATAGCATGTGACATGAAATTTGTTGGAATAATCTACACAAGTAAAACCTTTCTGAAGAATATCTCCTCTGAGCCAGATTTTGCTAATGAAACATCAAACAACATGTGTATAAGGCTGCTAAATCGGATGACAGAGATGAACAGTGAAGACGATACAAAACTAGATGAAGAGTCCGATAATGAATCTAACATGGATGAATATCTATAAGCAGAATGATGAGAAATTCAAGAGGAGAGTCACTTGGGCCAACGAAAATGAGGTCGTTCAAAAATTCAGAGAATGCAGACGACCAAAGAAAAGTTTATCAAGTTGTCAAAGGCAAAATTCCAGACTGCAAACATGTATCTGAAGCATTAAATCGAGATGATAGATTCGTGAAAATGTTAAAATTAAATTGAAATAATTTATATTTGTTACTTATATAGCACACAGCAATAGAGGGAGTGTGAAATAAAGTAAAAATGTAATCCCTGTGTGCTAAGACATATTTTGTACTGTATTAGATGGCACTATGTTGGTGAACTTCACATTTTTTGGTCATAGCTCACTGTCTTGTTTGGTCGGCTATGTCTGTGTGTGGCACAATGCTCCCCTCTTTCAGCTTTTCTTTGTGTTACCTATAACTGTATATTTCTGTGCATTGTTAGATTCATTTATTTGCTTCATTTTCTGACACTTTTAAATGCATAACTAGGAGCTCATGGATCCTATCTCAATTCTTCTGGTAGGTGAATTAGTTTTATCTAGGATAGATCTCAATTCCATTTCTTGCTTTTGTGTTTTTGCATAGGCAAAGAGTCTGGGGATCGTTGATGAGGCTATTGTTGTGTTGTCTAGCTTCAGTACGCTTGCTATTTGGCTGTGCACGAATCTATAGACTCTTGACCAGACCCGATCAATGAAGTCTTTTTCTACCTCCTCACATTCCATATCTTGTATATATTTCTTTACAATGGTGATATAGGAATCTCTCTTCATCAATAGTATGTGGGGGACCCAAAAAATTGGATTTTTTTGTATAAAAACTTTGTTTGTTAACTTTTTTACAAAATTTCTTCAGTCACCTTGAAAGTACTTTCCATTAGATGTGATTCACTTGTCGAGTCTTTTTCCCCACTGTTTGAAGCATCTCTGGAACTCTTCAACCTTGATATCATCCAGTGACCTTAGTGAAGCTGTTTTTACCACCTCCACATCATCAAAATGCTTCCCTTTTAGATTTTTCTTCATTCTTGGAAACAGAAAAAAGTCGCATGGGCTAGGTCTGGTGAATACAAAGGGTGGAAACAACAGGCCATCCCCAAGAGGCCAAATAGTGGGTCACTTGTAAGGTGTGTGTGCGGGGGCGTTGTCGTGATGAAGGAACCAGTCATTTGATCATCAAAGTTCCGAGCATTTCCTTGCACATCCTCTCACAGCCATCTTAACACTTTTTTGGCAGATTTTTTCAATGTTTTCATCGTTTTGAGATGTTGATGCCCAGAACTTAGCAGGTGGAACAAAATAACAGTAAGAGAAACACAATGCTACGCTCAAACGTAAACCTACAAACTGATGCCATTTGCACAGCTGTTTCGTAAAGGTCTCTACTAACCCTATGTAACGGGAGAACTCTCCACTACGTCTATGAATGGCAGCGCATTCTCAGTTCGGTTTTTTTTTTTTGGGTCCCCCTTGTATATATAGCTTTATTCTTGTCTGCTGTTGGAAGGATGATGCTATTTTCTCATAGCCATTTTTTGCTCTTATTTAAAGGTTTCCCTTGGTGTTTCTTTAGGTTAATTTTTTTCATTTGGAAGTATGCCTTCAATCTGAAATGTTCCTTCTGGGTTTTATTTAGGCTGTATATGAATATTTCAATCTCTGGCATTATTATTTCTGGTGTTACATGTTCCAGGTACAAACTTTGGTCCTTTTCTAAGTACATTATTAACATATTCCAGAGGGTCACTTCCATCTCAACAAATTATTGGGACCTGCATACTATCTTCACTTTTTGGTTTTTGGAACTTGAAAATTCAACTCAGTTTTTTGTAATATTTTGATTTTAGTTTCTCAGCTAGTCTCTCCTGTATATTTATAACCATATTGCTAGCTTCTATTAAGCTATTATCATCTTTTACAAAGAGGTGATATTTGAATTTAATTAGATTATTAAGTCTCAAGTACCATATTCTACATGTTCTAATTGCTTTCTGTAGGCAAATAAATGTTAAATCTTAGGCAATAATGCATTCACATCCTAGGGGTAATTTGATATGAAAGATAGGCATTGGATAGACCCAGTATCATCTACATTCTACCAGAAAGTCAAGTTAAGCTTTAACTGTCATGCAAAGCTCAGTAAGGTTTGTAAGTTTGATTTATAATTAATACTTTGTTGTTAGAAGATTACTTTATATGGGAACTGCATGTCATATGGCATATGTCCACATGATAGTCAAATTCTTGCCATACACAGGCTGCGTGTTCATATCTATGGATTGGATGGCAGTAGCAATTTGTTATAATAACTTTGGCAGATTTTGTAGCATAGGTGGCATATAGACACATCCTTCACATACCCCATAGAAAAAAAATCAGATAAAGTAAGATCAGGTGACTTGGGTGTCCAATTGCAAAATATTTGGTTATTGGAGTAGCTGAGCCAATCCAGCAGTGAGGCAGATGTTTATTCAAGAAAAGTCAGACTTCATTTTGATAATGGAGAGTGAACCATCTTGTTGAAACAGGAAATCATTGGAGTCAGCTTCTAATTGTTGGATTAAAAACTGCTGTAGCATGTCAAGATAAGTTATCCTAGTTACAATGCATTCAGAAAAGAAAAATGGGCCTTAGATTCTCTTGTGATATGACACAAAAGACATTGACCTTCAATTAATCCTGGACATGCTCATTGGTGTCACAAGAGTTCTCTGTACTCCATATTTGCACATTATGGCAATTGACCTTCCCATTTAAATAGAATGTAGCTTCATCAGAGAAAACTAGATGGCCAACATAATATTCATCCTCCTCCATTTGCATTTCCACACACAGCTTATGATGTATGTTTTTATCATTTGGCGAAAGGCTTGTATCAACTGAAATTTTTATGGTTTCATGGACAGCCGTTTACATAAATTTTCCACAGTTGTCTGCGGCAGCTGCAGCTTATGACTGGCTCAGTGCATAGACTTCTTGTGAAGGCTTCTCTGATTCTGTCAACATTCATATCTGATACATGTGGTCATCCTTTCTTTTAATCACAGAACCAGTCTCTTCAAACTGATGATCATGGTAGATGTTGGTGTTGGTGGATCTTTATTGAAATATGTGTGGAAATGCCATTATACTACTGTAATGGAATTTGTCTTTGTTAGCTCCAACACAGCATATGCCTACTTCTGGATGCTTGCCATTTTGCAATTGCAATGTTTCCTTAGTGTGACAAGAATGCATGAGCATGCACAACTGATACGAATGTAAACTTATCCTATCCATTGATGGCTTGTGTGTTTTTCTATAATAATTAGTTTCTTTGTATTAATTATACAAAGTTGTTCCACTCATTTAGAATCATCTTGTATTTTAAAATTATTTTATTTTATGATAATTGCAAAATAAATATTAAATATTGATTCTAATAATTTCAGAGTTTTTTCTTAATCTTATTCCTATACTAAATATTCAGAGATTATGAAATTAAAAGTTCTTGTCTCCCAATGACACACTTATTAATTTCTGATCCTCAACCATTGTAAAGTTGGCCACTACTGTTCTTCTGCTTCCATGATAGATTGCATCTTTTAAATTAAACAAAACTTAAAAAAGTAGTAGTTAGCTATATTAAGTTTTTGTATGCTGTTATAAAAACTTATTTAATATATATGACTACAACATTTTTTGTATGCTATTACAATATTATTTAATTCAGTATTAATTTCAAATTATTTTAATATAGTAATGTTGAAGAGGAAGTTTGTTCATCATCTAGTTCTTCAGATGATTCAAATATTTATGATGATTATGATATTAACGATTTAAAATCTGATGATGATACTGATAATGAAAATGCTCCAAGAAAGAAGATACCATCTTGGGCTCAAGGTAATTATTTATCTTTTATAATTAATAAATAAGTAAATGTTCTCTTTATATTCTGAGTTTAAATAAAACTGGATTCAAACATATACAAGTTACATGTGATGATTTCTAAAGTTTAATTTTTATATTGCATTAAGTAATTTTAAGAAACATTTTCTTTTAATGGTAAATAATGATATTTGATAAAATTTGCAGACTTGAATGAAAATATAAGGTCTCATCCACAGTGCTTAGACTCAAGTTATTCTTATAGCAACATGAGCATGGTAAACATATATGGTACAGTAGAACCTCGAAAACTCTGCTCTCGATAACCCGGCACTCCGGATAACTCGGCCACACCCTGGCAGGGCAAAAAAATCCATAGTTAATTAATTTTCATTATAGATAGCTTTATAAAAGTATAAAAGCTCTCATAAAGTATTTTTCTGAGGTCTATCTTATCAGGTACACGTATCAATACTGTACACAGTGTATTCATTAATTTTCATTTTCATGTAGTAAAGGCTCTATGCCTTCATAAAGGATTTACTTTTCCTTTGTTTAAGGGTATTTGGGCAGTTTATTCTCTGTTGTATTCTCAAGTAAACAATACATACAAGTACAGTACAGTATTTTCTGAGGAAACACTCGTACTTATTTTTTTTAACCCCATTCCCGATAACCCAGCATTTTCACAAACTCGGCCACCCTTCGGTCCACATTAGGCTGAGTTTTCGAGGTTCTACTGTACAAACTTTACTAGAGAATCATCTCAACATGTTCATGTTGCAGCAGCACAAATAATTCAAGCCCTAAGCATCTGTTTGAACAAAATACAAATGCTTAAAATAGACAACAGATATAAGTAGTGTGCAATAAAATTCTCTAAAATTACACTTTAATATACTGAATTATACATTCCTCAAAAGTGAAATTATAATACCACAAAGGAATGCACATAGCCACATGCACATTACAGAACTAGTAGAGGTGAGAGATATGCAAATGATTAAGTTTTCATATGCATTGGATCATGTGGTATTCAGTTTTGGGCTATAAAGACGAGCAGCCAGCTCTTGCCATAAATGCTATCAGAGAAAGTTTATGGCAGCTGAACTTTTGAAGAAGCATAGTAAATGCCTTGGAGACAAAAGCAAGCTATACTACTTATTACTGGATGGGGAATGAGACTGTATCCTGGAGCTGTGCAACCTGTTTGTTGATTCGCACAGTTGTCACGTGTGTTGGGCACAATGTAAATATTATCCAGCAATGTGTGACAGGATGGACATGGGAATATCTGTGAACATTCTGAAGAAGGAGTGGATGCACTGGTGCACAACAGAGTGAACATAGACCAGCAGATTTGCTAAATAGCCCATCAGGACCTGTTCACCATAGCACATGTCATCTGAAGCCACCTGTCACCATCAACAAATGCATCTGTATCCATTCAAACCATTTACAACAGGTTGCATGAAGTTAGGCTGAGAAGAATGACACCTCCATGACTAGTTGCCATGGGAGTGTCATTAACTACTCAACACAAGGCTGCACACCTGGCTTGGTGTCATCATCATTCCACTTCTGTCTGTGGAGGAATGACAGCCATGGATGGGTATGGCAGTATCCTGGAAAAGCTATGTGCCAGCCCTTTTTGTCAAGTGTCACACTGGCCCCATACGTATCATGTTCGATCAGCAGACACCCCTGGTGCACATTTCTAGTCCTCTGACAGCAGACCAGTACATGTGGGGGCCTATGGTTCAGCCATTGGTGCAGGCTGCATCCAACACTGTGTTCCAGCAAGACAATGCTTAATCACATGTTGCATGGCAAACTCTCACCAGAACAGAATTTACATCCTTTCCTGGGTGGCAGCCTTACTGGATCTCTCTCCCATCAAACACCTGTGGAACCTTGTCTGATGTGACATGCACTAAGGATTACCACCACATACTGTAGAAAATGTGCACATTACAGTGAATGCATCTTGGCAAGGGATATCTCAGGCAACCATTAATCACCTCATTGATAGTATATCTTGCCATATAGCTGCCCTTGAGGGCCACATTCATTACTGAATAAACAAGTATCTGTTGCATATCTCTCTCACTCTATTAATCCTGCAATGTGTATATGGCTATATGCATTCCTTCATGGTGTTGCTACTTCACTTTTGAGAAGTGTAGTATAAAGTAACTTTTCCAAATCTAAATTTTACAGTGTTATCATTAATTGTTAGTCAGAAGAAACCATTACGATTTCATCTATATATATAAAAACGAATGTGTCTGTTTGTTTGTCTGTCTGTCTGTATGTCCTTCATGCATTACCACACAGTTTATCCGATTGCCATGAAACTTTGGGAAGTTGTTTAATATACTCCCGCGAAGGTTTCTGGCATAGTACATTTATCCTACGATAGATGGCATGAGTGTATACAAGCATTTCATTGTGAGTTCGATCCATTTCAAATTGTGAAGACCATTTTTCCCCTCCAAAAAATATCTCTATATATGCATTTGTGAACTGTTATTTACGATATTTGTAATAATTTTTGTTTAATCACTTTATTTCAACTATTTTTTGCTAATTATGTGTTTGCTCGAACTTTGTTAAAACCTTAACTGTACCCCGAACAACAACCGAAGTTGTAGGAGGAAATTCGCCTATTTTACCGATCTAGGGATCCTCCCTTTTCCAAATTTTAATATCAACTCAAAATAATTTAAAAAGACAAATTACAATAAAATGGTTTATTATCCAACTATCAGAAATTTTACAACATGCCAAGGAAGAGAGGAAGGAGCAATTAAATAATTAAAATTGTAAAGGATTTAAAAATATATATAAAAAATGGGGAATATCGCACTTCTGACAATCACTGCAAGTGTGTGGGCTAGATTTGGAGAATCTGTGCTTCTCGCATTGGAAAACCTTTTGATTTATTCGTGTACGCACCAGACGAAAAAACAAAAAATATTGTGTATCCACAAGCACTCCAATAAATAAATAGAATTGAAACGACACTTTGAAATGTTTTCCCGATGAAAATGAATAATAATAATAAGTTTCAATAAAAATGATAAAATGTAAATTGAATTTTATCATAACGAGTTTGCTTGAATTTCGTTTCTTCTGAGATCGCAGCAATGCACAACGGGTAAGCTAGTTAATTAATATTACTATTAAGCTGTATTTTTAGCTCAATTCCTACTGATATTCAAGCAGTCAGTTTTAGATATAAAATTCAAATTCTAAAAATAATTTTTTCTTTCCTTTTTTATGCAATTATCAGTCTAAATGGATGGTACAAAATTATGTTTAGATATTGTTAGCTAGATTTAACTTGCATAAGAAGATGTAGAAATTCAGTCATAACAGAATAATAATTATTAGTCACTTATGTAATTATTACAGATAAATTGCTGACAAGTGAAACAAATAAAAATAAAAAAGCTGAATAATAGATATTATCAATTTAAAGAAATTTCATTTTAATTACTATTAATCTAGTTTTATTTTAATTAGAATAATCATAATTAGATCATATATCATAATAAATTATAATTTTATTTAAATATAATACGGTAAGACCCACTTAATGCTGCCTCGTGTAATGCTGATTTGATCTAACACTGTCTGCTTGAAGCCTAAAAAAAGCTCAAAATTTACACTGATTTAGATTATTGTTTTCATTTCATTTGATTCATATATAATATGATTATTTACAAAGACGAATCAATCAGCAAAAGATGGCAAAAAGGTATACTTTCTTTAAATCTATGTTTGTTTGGTGCAATTTTGGAAAAAATATAACATTATGGATGCCATAAAAAATATTGACTTCACTTAACAAGAATTAACTGATAAATGTGTGAACAGTGTGTGGAAGAAGTTATGGCTGAAGGTATCCAAGAATTCTCAATGAGAAGAGTCCATCACTGTATCGTTAGGTTGACCAAGTTGTCAACCTAATCAATACAGCAGGACTAGGAGATGGATATTGAGGAGTTACTGCAGATTTCTGGTGAGAGACCTACCAATGATCACCTTCAAGAACTGGCAGAACAAGGAAATCATGTAGAACTGGAAAATAGAGATTCTGAAAACGAAGAACCCAAAAAATTTCTCTACAGATTTTTTTTAGTAAAAGTTTGGTAACTATAACCAAAATCGTTGATCAAATTGTAGCAAATGATCCAGATTTTGAAAGGAGTGCAAAAGCAAAATGAGGAGTTTTGGATGTGATCTTCTGCTACCAACATTTGCTTAAGAAAAGACAAAAGCGACAAATGAAACTTCATGACTTTATTGCATAAAAACATGAATTTCAGAAAATTCAGGACCTTTGTCACAAAAAATGAACTTTACATTTCTGTGTGTATATATTTGTATTATTTAACATATATTATTATGCAAGTTAATATAAAAATAACTTAAAATTAAAGTAAAATCTGTTTATTTTTGGTCACATGTTCCCCTATCCCTATTTACTCTATGTTAAAATGACCTCGTTTAACACTGTTTCGTTTAGTGCTTTGTCATCTAGGAATGCATCCCGTGTTAAGCAGGGTCTTACTGTAATTTAAATCTTTGCAGAATGAGAATATTATTGCTTTGCATTAACAACAAATGATAATTTAAGAAAAATTTATGTCATTTGATGACCATTTTCATTTCAGGTCTCCAGCTTCGTGCTGCATTGCTACAACAGTATCATAATCCACCTGACATTTATGCTATATTTGGCAAAATTGAATTTCCTGATCTAACAGAAATATTTCCAACACAAAAAAGGCCTTTCCAGAAAAGAACAAGTTCTGCAGAATGGTTCTACTACTAGTCATTTTTCCAAAATTTTGATTTAAAATTTTATTGTTAATTCCAAATATTTATTATATATATCTTTTTTTTATTGTATATATCTTTTATTTATAACAGTTGTATAGTTTGTACTAAGACACTAAAAATATATTTTGTAATTGAGATTACATACTGTGTTGAATAAGTGATGAGATTCAAACATGATATATCAGCATTATTAACTGTATAATAATTTTTTTTTGTTTGTAAGATAGTATATAATAGAAATTTATTAAACACATGAATAGATTTATATAATAAACTTTTAGTTTAAAATAATGGATAGGTGAATCTGAATCATTCTAGAAAATTATTTAACTTTTAAATTAGTGTGTTGAAGAGATATATAAAATATTGTTTAATGATTATACTTGATGATAATTTATGTGAATTTATTTTACCAGTAATTTGAAATTGACCTACTCACCAACATGTCTCACATTGAATTGACCTGAACAAAAAACATTTGTTTTTAAATAAATATTGAGATTCATTTTTTCTACAGCAAACTTCCTTCCCTTCTCAGTAAATTATGTAGTCCAAAGATATTTAGTTGTATAGTCTCAAGTAATAACACAAATTTGTAAGGATATTAAGAGATACAACCCATTTCCTCACTAAATAGGTTTGTACCATACATGCTTTGTTCTCTACATATTTGTATTGCTGTTCACAAAACTCAAGACTAAGCAGCCAGGAAGGTAATCAATAAGGGAAGGTTGCATTAAAGATACATGAAGCACTAACATATTAAGTATCTAAAACTAGCCTCAATTATGTCTATTATGGACATGCCTGATTTACAATGGATGAATAATAAAGAATGATACCCTGATTTGCAATATCTATGATAGATTGTAGGATCTGGATTGGGTTTGAATCCCATTCCTCATTTTAAGGCTGGCACTAAGATTGAGCACTACAGTTAAGAGATGGGAAATTATTCTCCAGCTTAAACTACCATAAAAATTATTATAATCAGAATTGGAGCTTTTAAAGGTCTATTTTATTTTCTTTTTTTCTTTAGTAATGACATTTGTTTAAAAAAATTAGATAATTTGAATAAATAATATATTTATAATAATAATTTTATTTCATTAAACAAATACTTTAAATTAGTTGTTTTCAATCTTTGAGCTGATGGTCACAATTTTTGGTGGCATACTGATGAGCCAATTTACATCACAGATGTCCTTATATTAAGCATAGCAATGCCAAAGTAATGCAATCTTTTATATAATATTTAAAAGTAGACAATAACTTGCAATTTTTGAAATTTTGTAGCACATCAATGAGAAGTTAATAACACATCGTGTTGCAGCGCACTGGTTGAGTACCACTGAGCACATTTTTTATGCTTTTAAATGAATTTAAAAGTATAAAACATGAAATTTTTATGTTTTACTATAAAACTTATGTTTAGAGGAATTAAAGGAATTATTAATTGAGGGGTTTGGTGGGAAAATGGTATATCCCATATTAGGAAGTTTTTAAGAAAAAGCGGATTTATGTTTCAATTCACCAGCAGTTTAATATGCAATGTTTTGTTAATGTATGTGTACAACTCAGGGCATAACTGAACCAAGAAAGTTTATCTTCTAAGAAACATTTTTAGTAATGACTCATTTCTTGTAGTTTTGTAGAATATATGGTTTTCCACTAAGCCTCTCAATTATGAGAATGTTTTTTAAAATTTAGGGAGAATAGGACTTGTTGAAATATAGATAAATTAAACAACAAAATTAATGAAATTTTAAAGGTAAAGGTCAATGACTCATAAAGAAACACTTTTCAAGGCTGAAATTTTATCTGTTTCTATCATAAATATCTAATTTTAACTGGAAAAAGTGAGAATAAATTTTGAAATTATTGTCTGAAGAACAGAGATATAAAACTTAAATTATATGATTTAATAGATAAATACCATTGTATATACCAATGATTAATTGTGATAAATTAAATAGGTCATTGATATTTAATGTTTTAAGATTTTATAATTTTTTTAAACAGTTCTTAATGAAAGTAGTTGAAACAGGTTCATCCAAATATCCAGCATCAAGAAATTGTGTAATAATGAAATAAAAAGATAACAATTAAGAGTAAATTTCTAAAATATACAGAATAGAAATTTAGTCACAAATGCAATTTTTTAAACTTCTAATATAAAAAAGATTACATATATTTTAATTTTTTATTAGAGTAAATTAATAAATTTTGTTCAATAGATGTAGAAAGGAAAAAGTTTATATATGAGTTACTCATTTGCCAAATTGATTAACTCCACAAAACAAAATGTAGAGAAATTGTTAATATATACTACTTTTTAAAATTTCTTTAAACTTTAAATTTAAACAAACATTGTAGAATGTATTTTTTTATATGTTGTTAAATTAAAGCTATATTTAATGTAACAAGATATGAAACAATGCTATGTGAAAAATGTAAAAATAATAACAATTGTTTCAATGATATACTAATGGAGTTAATCCCATCTGGCTTGTGAATAGCTCATGTAAAGTTTGTTGATATTTTAAAAATGAAATTAAGTTTAGAATTGATAACTAACCTAAGTGAATAATTATTATTCATAGTACATTTTCATTATTTTAAATGGAAAGAAAAATAATTGTCTTCTGAATAAATGAATAAAGATTTTGAATAAACTATATACATATACAGGGAGTTCTTCACTCTACCACAAATTTTTGTTACAAATTTAGAGTAATTCTTTCCTAAAAAAAAATATGTGTAGAACTGTATATATACTTAGTTATAAAATATTAGTACATTACAATATTTTAATTGATATAAATATTATAGAAACTAGTTTGAAACACTTATATATAAAATAGCTCAAAAGTCAGTTAAATTAAATATATTTTTTAAGATTATTTTAACATCCGTTTACTCTTTTGGACTACTTCATTTCTGTTTTTAAAGCTTGTAAATTAATCAATTTAATAAATAAATCAATTTAAAATAATGATTAAAAATTATTGTCTTATAAATTCAAAAGTAAAAACCGATAGGACAATCTATCGTTCTATCTTAAAAATTAGATACATATTTTTTTTAAATGATTCAAAACCTTGATATAGGATTTTTTGACCCAAGCTCACACACAAAGGGCCTCAATTTTTTATGGAAGAAACGTCATATAAATTAAGTTTATTTTGATAAAAGATTTTTCCGTCACTTGATGATTTGTCTGTATATTTTAATGATTTTCGGAGAAGAGTAGTGCCCGCCTCGTTCTCAAGCCCTGTATATCTTAAGTGCTATTGTGTACTTGCTGGAATTAAGTGTATATTTTTATTAAAATGAGTACAAGGAATAGGTCTGTTTTTATTTGGTGGGGTGAAGACCAGCTATCTCGGAAAACATTAAAGATATTTATACAATTTCCTTGTTTTAAATAGTTATTTTTATTAAGATATAATTCAATTGCTTTTTATTCCTGGAGTGAATGTATCTCTAGGGGTGCAACAGCGAATTTTAAAATTCAAGAGTGGTGGTGGCAAAGATCAAATAGCCTATAACTGATTTAAGATCTGTTCGATGTGATTTTTGTCAATTTTACAACAATAAATTCTAAAGAATGACTTAGTGCACAACTTTTTACGCAAACTCTGGCTGAATGGAACTGTAGTTAATGTGTTTTCTAATGATGGATTTATAAGTATGAAAATAGAAAAATCATGAACTAACAGAAAATCGTTATTTTTAATTTGATAATGTAGAAAAAGTTACAATCAATCGCCAAAATATATGAAGCTATCATTATATTGTCATGAAAAAATTCAATAGATCTATTCACTTAACTACAGAATTTTTTTTTTTGTTGTACTAAATGCATCGATTGTGCCGTCCCGCTTCGTTATTTGGATAGAAAATTTAAGATTTAGTTTAGTAGACCGCATTTCGAGTGATGAAATTTTAGCCCTGTTAAGTATATAGATTCCGTGGTTAGGCTACGAAGATAAAAATAGAAACGGAGTTTAGACAAATTTTTGCGTGCAATAAAAGCATAAACTTTTTTAAATTTTATTTTACTTGTATAAGTCACGCTACTTGGACACTAAATTTATAATTACAGAATAAGGGAAGTCGATAAATTACAGAAATATTTTGCTTTTATAACTTAAAATTTGAAATGAAGCAATACAAAAGTAATATAAAGTTCGTTAACACAAACTTTATATTTCTTTGACGTTGAAATGTAAAATAATAATCTATTAAATTAAATTGGTGGTGATTTTGATACAGGTTATATATATAAACCGGTTCCTGGTGCAGGAATTTGGCCACCACCACTCCATTGCATATGCCGATGATGCCTTTGTGTTAGTGGGCGGAGGTTCAAGAGCTGATCTAGAGCAAAAGAGCACGAATATTCTCACTAATATTATCTTATGGGGCAAACAATATAAGCTTTATTTTAACCCGAAGAAAATGGAAGGTATCGTTTTTAGTAAGACTGATAAGCCACATCTTTATAGGAGACTCCCAACTATTAAAATGGCCAATAACAGTATCAAAATTTCCAAAACTATTAAATTATTGGGGTCATCTTGGATCACAAGTTATCCTGATCCCCACACATCAGCTATGTAACAAAGCATACTGACCCTTATTTTCCAGTCTTTCGGCAAGATTGCAAAAAATAACTGGGGACTATCATCAAGTCCATGGGCATGATATATGATATGATCTTTATGCCGATATTAACATATAATTGAGACAATGCCATCCATCTCTCGCACAAGCGTAAAAATTACTAGCAGCCCACTGTTGTATATTATCAAGGCGTACAATACAATACCAGTCTTACTAGTGTCTACAAATAATGGCTCGAAGACCACCAGTGGATCTCCACATCAGTTTGTGAGCGAAAAAATGGCGGATGAAGCAAAATTGAAATGCTGCTGTTAATAACAAGGACATCAATTTAATGAAATTGAATAGCATNATATACACGATTTAAGAATAAAAATTCCTGTTTTTCATGGACCATTTAAAACTTCTGTATATTCAAAAGTAGAAAGGCCTACACCTGAGAGAGTTAGTGTCTACAAATAATGGCTCGAAGACCACCAGTGGATCTCCACATCAGTTTGTGAGCGAAAAAATGGCGGATGAAGCAAAATCGAAATGCTGCTGTTAATAACAAGGACATCAATTTAATGAAATTGAATAGCATATC